CTCAGCCTCCAACCTCCCCTGCCCACGTCTGTCTCCCCTGCACAGCAAGCTAATGAGGAGTCACCAGATACCCTGCAGGAAGAACCCAGAAGATCTAAGCAACATAAGTCCTCCCCTCAAAGAGCTCCTGATCTACCCAAGATCAGTCACCACCACCAAGCCCAGCCAAAAGCCAAATCATCGCGAGCCTTCCTCCTCTCTCCTCCCCCCACCCAAATCCTGTCCATTCCACTATTTCTCCAACCCATCCCCCCACCAAGTTGTCTCTCAGCATCTCTCCCAGGGGTCCAGGGGCATGTCCTTCCCTCTACCCATCCTCCTGTGGGATCATGAGTTGAGCATTCTGGGAAGGGCTGCAAATCCAAAGACAGGACCCACCTTCAGCCCCAGGACCCATCCCCATAACATCACAAGGCATCTTTCTCATTCCCCATCTGTGCGGCCTCCCCTGCAGGCAAGGGTCAAGAATATAAGAAGATCTCTGAAGGAAACTTCAAAATGTTCAGAGAAGGGACTGGTGGGACTCATGGTAAGACTTGGGAGGGTGGGAGCTGCTGGGGGCCTGCTTTCCAGGTCCCCTGTGCCTGTCAGTCCAGAGCCCCCCAGCCCTGTAGTCAGAGCATTGGCCTCTGTGACCAACGTTTGACCACAAGGGACCTGGGTACCAGGAGAGAGGACCAGGAGTCCCAGGAAGTGGACAGCAGAGAGCTTCTCAGGCCTCCTGCCCCCAGTCTGGAACAGACTACCCCTTCCCTGCCAAGAACCAGCAATACTCAAGAGTCTGCTTTTCTGGAAACTTCCACAGCATGGTGGCATTAGGTCTCCTTCATTTGACTCCATTACAAATTGACATTTTAAAATCAGTCTTTAGACATGCTTTTCCCTACCTCTGATCATCTAACCACTGGGTGTTCTATGAAAAAATATCAAACAGATATTGTCAGAAAGAGCTAGAAAAAATAATCTGACCATTTTCCTAACAAGGAAAGTAGGATTAGACAATCTAGAAAAACGATGCCTGTGGCCTGGGAGCCTGAAGAGGGGAGTTCCATCAGAAAGGGTCATATGTTTAAAGGACAGGGCACAGGATGGAGAGGCCCCATAATCAAGGACAGGTTCTCAGGACCCCATGATCCTTTAAAATCCAAGTAGAAAAGGCCAGAGCACTAAGTAAGCTTGGGCAGGCTGAGGAAATGGGTCAAGAAGACAGGTGAGCTTCTGGGAGGCTGGCTAGACTCAGAGGGGAAAGAAACACAACTTAGCAGATGCTCTACTGGTCTCAGAGGACCAGCTATATTGGGCAGGCAGAGAGCTTCCAGGTGAGGAGCAAGGCTGGTCGCTGGAAACAGCAGACAGGCAAAAGGAGAGCAGTAGCTACTTTCAGAGAAGTTCAAGTCTCTAGATCCAGTGAATTGACAGCCTGGGGCCAGGAGGTCCTAATGAGATCCTGAGGTTGTAACCCTCAATCTCTGGGCCAGAAACAGCAATAATGAACCAGTGGTGCCCGTGTGTGAGAGGAAAAGGCAGACCTGGGAACTAATGCCTGGTTCCCTGAACATCCCTCCTATGATGGTCTAGAGTGAATTATGAAAGATGGTCTATGAAGACTCCAGAAAAGAAAGTGGATTTGAAACCAGCATGAATTCTCCAAGACCAGGGAAGACAAACTGGCCTCACTCCCTTTGCTGGCAAGTGTTCTAGGCTAGTGTTTGGAGAGTAACTAAATACAAGTTGTCCTAATTACAGCAGCCAGATTTCCCTCTATGCTTTGTTTCAGACGTGCATCTCATAAAATCTTCTGACATCTCTCTGTGGATGAACCAGAAATGTATGCTAAATAATGGGCTGGGTGTGTGCTTGGTGGTATAATAATTACATGAATAGAAAGTCAGCACTTTTTGAATGACTTGGATTAAAAATAAAGAATGCACCCAGAGCTTCAAATGGCACTGACTACACAGCCATAAGGAAGAGTCATTATAGCTGATGGAAGGACCAACTCTTCAAACAAGCAAAGTTTTCTTAGCTAGGACACCAAAGACAAGCAACAGCAACAAAAACAGATAAACTGGACATCATAAAAAATTAAAACTTCTGTGCTTCTAAAGACACCATCAAGAGAGTAAAAAGACAACCACAGAATGGGAGAAAATTTTTGCAAATCATATATCTGATAAGAGACATGTATCCAGGATATATAAAGAATTCTTAAAAGTCAATAGTGAGAAGATAACTAACCCAGTATAAACGGCAAAAGATCTGAGTTGTTTTCCAAAGAAGACATAAAATGACCAATAAACACCGGAAAAGATGTTCAACATCATTAGTCATCAGGGAACAGCTACAATGACTCCCTGGCATCAGTGTTGGCGATGAGTTTTTATACTTGACACCAGAAGCAAAGGCAACAAAAACAAAAGTAGACATGTGGGCCTATATCAAACTAAAAAGCTACTGCACGGCAAAGAAAACATCAACAAAGAAAAGGCAACCTACCAAATAAGAGAAAATACTTGCAAATCATATCTCTGACAAGGGATGAATATCCAAAATATATAAAGAACTCATACAACTCAACAGGAAAAAAAGTCAGATTAAAAAATGGGCAGACGCCCGGTTGGGCGTGGCTCAGTGGTTGAGTGTCGACCTAGGATCCAGGTGATCAGGGTTTGATTCCCGGTCAGGGCACATGCCCGGGTTGCAGGCTAGCCGATCAATGACTCTCTCATCATTGATGTTTCTATCTCTCTCTCCCTCTCCTTTCCTCTCTCTGAAATCAATAAAGATATATTTAAAAAAAAAAAATGGGCAGAGGATCTGTGTGACATTGTGATTTATAATAAGTACATATATATTTGGTCTTCATCCCAGTTTCTGGCACAGAGCTCCTAAAACCCTTGAAATTTCTTAAGTGATGATAGGGATAGAGGTGTCCCTTGTTATGCTGATGAGGTTACTTTTGGACCACACCTAAGGATGGAGGCTGAGAGCCAGGAGAACCAACCATATTATTAGAAGGCTGGAATGTTCAGTCCCATTCCCCTGACCTCTGAGGAGAGAAGAGGGGTCTTGTTCCTTGGTGACATAAACCAGCCTCTTATCACAGAAACAGTCAAGAATGGGACCCAAAGGGAGTACAGGGCTTATGATTCTCAAACCACCTGTTTGGAAAGTGCATCCCCAGTTTCTTAAGGGGGAAGTTGGAAAGCTTCATCACCCACATCCTAACAGCAGTCAGCCCTGAGACATGACTGCCCACCACCAGGGTGGGCAACCCCAGGATGTTTCTCCTTTGCTCACAGGGTTACCAGAAGTTCCTGTGATGGATTCAACCAGCTTATTAATAACTAACTCATACCTGGGGCTTATCAAAGAGCTCTGATCCTTTTTACCTCCATCTACCCATGAGTACACACAAGTGCGCGTGCACACATACACACACATATATGGAAAGGCCCAGAGTGAGACTTCTTGGAGCTTATGAATATTTATTATACTACATTCTTGAAAACAACCAACAAATTAAGTACAGGATTAATAGGAAACAGATTTACAAGAGTCGGTCATATGTTTACATTATGCAAACTGTAGCTAAATACCTATCCTCAGAATATTATGAAATGCTGGAAAAAGGCTGGGGGAGGGCTGCTGATATTTGGACATTTTCTTCAAGTCGGTAAATGACACTTTTGGAGTTTTTGAGAATGTGTTCCCTGAGGAGTTCCTGTGGGCACATCTCGTTACTGACTTGCTCCTTGTCTCTAGCCTGGTGGTGGAGTCCCAAGTTCAAGGCCATGCTGAAGGCCTAGGGCTATCACAGACTCTTTGTTCATGGAAACCAGGCTCTGCCAGATGGAAATAGATGTCCTGAACCTTGACCAGAAAACTGTCACACACAGCTCAGCCCTGGAGTCAGCTAAGCAGGAGTCACAGGATAAGCAACAAGAGAGTAACTTTCCCAGGTGAAGGACGTCACCTTGGGCTTCAAGATAGCAACAGAGCCAGGTACCCTCTGGGCACAAACCCCTGACTGACATGCAGGCAAAAGGCCAAAGTCTGGGGGTGGGGTGGAGGGCTGACGAAGTCTCCTCTGCAAATTGTAGTTAAAGACCTAAACCCCATACTTTCACCAGATACGTCGTTTAAGGACGGTTGATTAATTAAGGGTTGGTTTGTGTTTTTAAATTTCTTATTAAAAAGGCCATATGTGATCATTGTAGGAAATCTGTAAAGTACAGAAATGTATAATAAAGGAGAAATTTCCGAAATAGGATCCAATTTAAGTCGGGACTCCCTTGAGGTCAGAGACAGGGTGCTTTACTTACAGCTCCTGGTGCCCTGGGCTCAAGGTGGATGGGTGAACCAGAGCCCTTCTCTCCTCCCCACCTCCTGCTCCCACTGCTTGCAGCCCCAGGCCCCTGCCCCATGCACACCAGAGCAGGGCCAGGCCTTTCTAGAGAATGCAATTGCAGGAGTTGAGAGCGGTCACAAGTGGTCTCATCACAGAAGAGAAAGAATAACTGAGTTACAGATGACATAAATGTTACAACCCAACCACCACCTGGCCAAAACCCCTCACCTTGCACTAGCCGGTGGCCCTGGGCAACTTACTGGACCATTGGAGGCCTCATCGCCTCCTCTGTCCTGGGGGATGAGTTGTCCCTGTGCTTCACAGGGCTGGGGAGACGCTCCAACAGAAGGGCTCCACCCTGTGCACGCAACCCATACAGGTTACTAGTAAGCAAACTCTACCCTCAAAAGCAGGCATGAGCACTGTCACTGTGGGCAAGAGGGGGACTAGTGTCTTTAATACTAAACACTCAGTCTGTGTCAATGAGCACAAACAATGCATCATTTCATCTCTAAACACTGAAAATGTATCACCTCTCCCTGATCTAAGTCCAGCCTCAGCACCAATCACCATCTCCTAGGTACCTGGTGCCAGTGGTTGTAAACATTAAATCTGAATCGTGTTTTAAAATCTATTAGTAACTACCCACCTGTCTTTGTGTCCTGGGGACTGACCAAGGTCAAGATTTTATGTTGAGGTTCATCAGGGTGCACAGTGCAAAAGCAAACAGATGAAGCTTCAAGTTTAACCTGAAAAAAAGATAAAATCGCCGTTTGTTCTTTTATCATTGGAAGGGCAGAAGTCACTTTTCAATTAGCACAGTATTCGATGAAAGACCACTGTTACACAGAGCTTAATCTCATAGGATGCAGGTCACATAGAAACAAAAAACGTACCCACTCCGAGCTAACTCGAAGGGTAACATGACTAAGGCTCTTGGCTGCCGCCTCCCAGCAGACCTGCCCTTTCCCTGGTTCACCTGCCCATCATTCAGGCACCAACTCAACATAGACTCAGCTGAAGCCCTCCCAGTCTCTCCCTCCACATGCTTCCTAGGACAGCAGAGGGGCTCCCCTGACCTCTTGGGGCCACTCTATGGACAAGCCTGCATGTCCACCTACACTGCCACTCAGGCTGCCTGCTGCCCTGGTTCGGGTTGCTACAGGCAGTCTCGAGAGATTCGTGGCCCCTCTGGCCCTGCAGGCTCAGCTCTGGCTTCCTGGCAGCCCTGGGCCAGAGAACCTATGCTGGGTGCCTGCTTGCTTATGAACACCAAGCAGCACGTTCAGGGTCTCTAATTGCTGGGACTGCCCCAGGGTGCTTCTCTCCAGCACCCACACCCCAAACCCTCTCTTTATGGTCATTAAACCCACAGCTCCCAGCTCCCAATGCAAAAGGTCAACACATTCTATTGCAAAGTCTGTTTTGAGGGCACAACAAAATAAGGAAAGAATGTGTCAGCTGCACGAGGCAGGCAGGTTGCTTGTCAGTCTACAGCAGGCCTCACAGTCTCCTGTAGGGTCCCGAGACCCTCGAACATCTTCGTGCCTCCCTGTCTGCAAGTCACCTTAATGGAGAGTCCCCATACTGGCCTCCCACAGTGGTTACGTGAGACATGGGTCACCCACGAGACGGCCATGACAAGGCCATCACCAACCACACACACGAAGCATTGTATTGCCATGGAAAGAGGCTTATCACAGACATTCTTGTATTCAGACTGTGATCTGAATGAATGTTAAAAAAGCATATATAGAAATAGAAACCACATGGAAACACATCAACGTGCTTATAGCAGTTAACTGTGGGTGATTTTGTTTTCTCTGGCCTTGGCTATAGTTCTCAAATATTTGACAATGAGCATATACTGTCCTACGACCAGGAAAACCAATAAGCATGATTGCATTTTAAGCGGGAGAGGACAATTTCAAGACTGAAAACAGAGTGACATATGAAAAGAAAAGGCTTTTAGGGAGACCAGAGTGACGTGTTGTGATATACCCTTTCTTCTTGTTTGAAAAAAATCTCTTTGGATTCAAAAAGAAAAGTTAAACTTGCCGAAAGCAAAAAGGAGATCCAACACCCTCCCAAATTAGACTATTTCAACCTGATAAGTGGTAGGAAACTGCTACCATTTCTTAATTAGCTGCTAAAATGGTAGGAAAGCAAATGATTATTTTCATAAAACCAGCTTTAGAAAGGGAAGAGCAAATAGGTACAAAGTCATTCTATCAAAACAACTTAATTTTGGTAACTATCTTATTTTATTATGTCTTCGCTAATAACACTAAAATTATTCACATACTAAGCATATAATATACTAGGTTTTTATAAAGTAATCCATAAACGTTAAACAAAAGCAGATGATCGAAACTTCATTCTTAAGAACTTCAGGGCTAACTCTTGTTTTCATCACACTTCTCAGGTTACCTAGCATTTCCCACACTCTATCCAGCCCTGCAGCCCCGCAGCTCCCTAGCTCCCTAAGAGTTAGCCCCAGCCTTGACCAAAAGAGCTTGCTTTCATTTCTGCTTTAACTGCCACCAGAGGGCGCTAAAAGCGTGTGAGTACAGCGGCCTCCTCTGCAGATCAGCTCTGAGCAACCATCCCAGGACCTGGATTCTTCTGGGAGTTGATTACAAATCTCATGGAAGCCACACTATATAAACTGTACAGGCCATTGTTTTAATTCATTCTGGAACAACTTCAGTACAGTGAAATAAAACCCTCTCTTCCTCAACCAACTTTGCCTGCCAGACAGCAACAATTTCTGGTATGAGTGAAATCTTTTGGGTACAAAACAAGAAAATCTTGTCTCTTTCAACAGACCAAACTCAAATCTGAAAGAAAGGTGAGTGACTTAAGAAGATTCACATATTCTTTTTACTTACTGCAGTGGGAAGAAAAAAGATCTTAAAAGTAACACAATATTTAAATTTTACCCACAATCCCACCATCCTAATAAATTATTCTCATTCTATCCACTCCTTCCTAGTACATGTTCAAAATGCAACCCTGTCAGTGCTAAAAATCATAATGGCTATCACTTCGCTTCAACTGACATAATATCATTCCAAATCACAAAACTTTAGAATTGAGCCCAAACTTACAGACCAAAGACCAATCAATCCCTTGGTTTTACAAATGGGGAAACTGAGGCCCAACAGGCATTACATACAGTATCTCATTTAATTCTCATAACCACAGTATGAGGCAAGCTTTGTCACTGTCCCAATTTCAGAGATGAAAATACAAAGATCAGAGAGATTAAGACACTTGCTCAAAGTCACACAGCTAGTAAGTGGTAGACCTGGGATTCACAACAGGCTGTGTGGCTCAGTGCCTTGCAGAACTGGACTTATATGCAGGACTCCAGAATCCCAATCCAGGATTCCTTCTGCTTCTCACGGCGGAATTATATAGTATTCACTCCAGAAGTTTTTTTTTTTTTTTTAATCTGTAATACATTTTCACTACCATTTTACACTTTAATAAATATATTAGATTCTTCAGAGCTCTCTACCAACATGGAAGGTCACACATACCTGCTCCCCAGTAGGCAGAGAGAAGACCTCTGCTGAGGACTGCGCCCCTTCCCCAAGTGTGGCATAGTAAGCCAGAGCTGCTTCCCGATGCCCTTCGGGGTCATCTTCCAAAATATCCACTGGGTAAATGCCTGCTAGGGGAAAAGAAGGCAAGAAATGACATAACTTTGACTCTTTTGTTAAAAGGAAAGTCAATTATTTCTTGAAGATTAAAAAAAGAAGCACCCAAAGAACATTTACTTTAAAAATTATGTTCACCTATTTTTTAGTGAAAAAGAAAAAAGCAGGCATCAAAAGAAAATAAAAGGCATTCCTGATGGCAGGGTTGGCACCAAGCTCAAGGAGATGTGAGGTCACCATGAGCCCTATTAGACTGTTGTGGAAACTTCCTTTCATGCACCCAGACCACCAAGTGGCTTCCACAGGGTCAGCCACAGTGGCCATGTGCACGAGCAGGTAGGGACCTGGGAAGCTGAGACTAGCTGGTTAGAACTGTGATGGCTCTGACAAAGTCCAGCTTGCATTATGACTTTGTGAGCTCACATACACAGGTTGCTAAGCTCTGCCCATTCCCCATTAATTGGGCCACCTTTTGTAACAGAGTATAAATGTTGAGTTAGTCTGACTTGAAAACCTACAGCACCTCTTCCTCACCGCCACACTTCTGGAGGAAAATCAGATCCTTAAATAATCACACAAATTGACAGCATCCAATTCAGCCTGGAAGTGGCTGTTGGTTTCCCTGAGATGCTGGCTGGTCTCTGGATGGCATGTCCCCAAGTGGGAGGGGCCTCTGTCACTCCCTCCCCTTCTGTGGACCCTGCATCTGATTCAACTCTGGGCATCCTATGGGTGGAGGAGGCTGCTGAAGCAGCTGTCTGTCTCCCCCCTCTCCCTGCCACTTTTCCTCTCCCTCCCCCTCCTCCCCTTCTCTCTCCACACACACATTCAAGGAATCCCAGGCCCCCTCTCACTACAATGAGCGAAGAAGCCCCAGCAACTGATCAGATATGACCCACTGGATGAACCTATAGCCCATCCCCACGCCTTGCTGGGCCCTCCAGGCAGAGAGCTCGGGAGCCAGGTGGATCTGACCCAATGGTTCCTTATCAGAAACCACTTCAAATCTTTCACTGAAAATAAACTCAGCCTGCGTGACCTCTTTCCAAATGTCCTGATGCTCTTAGTTCAGGGCGTCGGGGTCCCCTATCAGCCTCTGGCCTCATCCCCTCCCTTCCATCCATCCACAAATCACAATAACAACTATGCTAGCAGACCCTGGGCCCAGGTGCCCACTGAGTCAGGCTTAACTCCCATTACAGAAGAGGAAATTGAGGTCTGAAAAGGAGAATGCTGTGCTAGAGACTGTGGCAACACCAGGGCATGCATGTAAAACACTCAGGTCATGAGTGACCCCACTGAAACAGTGTCCTGTCCCAATCCCTGAGGCCTTACATGTCCCCTCCCCTGCAGCACCCCAAGTCCTCGGCTCCTCTGCCTTGCCATCCTCAAGGTTTACACACCTGGGAGCCCTCCTGGAGCCCCAAAAGGCAAGGGCTCATTGAGTCCTGTGTTCAAATCTTAGCTGGGCCTAGGATGGGAATTAATACGCCTTCACCACCTCTGGGTCCTGTAGGAACTCACACACCTTGAACTTGACCCTCCATAGCAGAGGGAGCTTCACCCCCTCCACCTCCACCCAGGAAGTGCAGGACCCCTCAGGGCAACCTCAGTGCAGCCTTCTCCTCTGCCCTGACCCCACGACCCACGAAGACCCCTCCCTGTGCCTTTCCCTTCAGCTGAGCTCTCTGCTCAAACTGCTGTTCATTTCATCTACTCGGTCAAGTGGCTCCCAAAGGTAAAAAAAAAAAAAAAAAGATTCAGTGTACATTTAAATGCATTAAAAACAGACTGCGCGCACCCTGGGGCTCCTGTCACGCTGCATACTTATCCCATGAAATCCACTTAAATTGCTATCTTGCTCAGAACGCCCCAGGAATGTCCATTTGCTTTTTTTTTTTTTTTTTTTTTTTTTAGGGGGAGGGAGAGAAACATCGATGTGAGAGAAAGACATCAATTAGTTGCCTCCCCGGCCTCAACCAGGACTGGGGATCAAACTTGCAACCCAGATACGTGCCCTTGACCAGGAATCGAACCTGTGACCCTACGGTTCACAGGCCAATGCTCTAACCACTGGACCACACCAGCAGGGCTGGAATGTCCACCTTCTTAAGGAGTGACATACCCTGACTTTCACATTGTTGCAGGCCTGGTGTTTGGGAGATTTGTTTGTCAGATCCAGGCTTTTGGTCCTCTCTTATGAGGTGGAGGGCTGACAGAAAGGCCCTATCAACCAGTCCTACAGAGAAGCTGAACTTGGCTCCTTGAGACCCCTTGTAACAGGGAGACACTGCAGTTGTCCCGGTTTCCCTAGAGGGGCATAGTGTGGAGGTACCTCACCTAAGACCACTGGGCCCAGAGGCCTGGCTGACCCCGGGGAGCCCAGGGAGGCCTCTGACTGGTTCTGCCATCGCCTTCCAAGGGCTGCCTGGCACCGGTATGGTCATATGTGGGCAGGAGAAATGCAGAGAACGTGTTTGCTCCTTGCACAACATGAAATCTTTTCCCTGTAACTTATGTTGCTGGGGCTGAGAACCCCTCAGAGAACTCAGAGGACAATGTCCCCAGGGCACCCAAGACACTCCGGGCTTTACTGCTTGGATGAACTAGAAGTGGGTCCCTCGGGAGGCTTTTTTCAGGAAGCCCGGGAGAATGGATCTTGAGAGTGGGAGCTGCCCGGGCCTACCTCTGGGGAGCAGGGCGCCAAGGATAAAAATGAGCCCTCCCTCCAGGAAAAGGATGTCTGAGTCTCTCGAGGCTCACACCACACCAAGGCACCCACATTTGGTTCCTTTAAAACCTGGAAGCAAGGTGAAGAGCCCTGCACCCCACACACAGGGCCTGCTGCACCCCGAGCAGGCCTGTGGTACAAGGGGAGGCCGAGGCTCTCCAGCCTTTCAGTTCTAATGAGTTCTCCTCCTTTTGGGGAATTTCCCCGGTCAGAAAAGCTGAGCAGATTCCCTCTTACATAGAAAATGTTTGGGTTAGCTTTCTGGGAAATGGGGCCAGAGTGAAAGGAACAGCTAAATGAGGGAGAGGAGAGGGGACATCCAATGCCCACTGGAAAGGAAGACCCCCACCCTTGGATGAGAGAGGCATCTCCACAATCCCAAGAGAAGGAAGACCCCTGCCCAACCCAGAAGGAAGGAATGAACACACTCACACTCACACACACACAGGACCCTGCCTGCATCCCAGAGGGAGGAAGGCCCCACCTATGCCCCAAACTACAAGGGCACACTTGGGCAGTGCAAAGGGGCCCTGAGGAAGTAAACAAGCCTGGGGTGTCTTACGCACGCTCTGGAGGCCGAACCAGGCTGCCACGCTCGCTTTGGTGGTGATGGAAGGCAGGCCTGGGCAGGGGCTTCCAGATGTGAAATGCTAACAGGCTTTAATAGCTTGAACTGAACAGGAAATATTTTTCCAAAGCCAAAAGAATGTAATCTTTTCAATACAATGTAAAATGCTTTTAGGAAAAAAAGGCCCACAGTTGAAATGATAATTCATTGCAGACTGTAAAGAAATGGAAATCCCCAAATGAGCCCCAAATTTAAGAATTCACTTTAAGCATATGTTTGCTGTAGTCATCCAAAAAACAAAATACTTAAATTTTTATGTTCTAGAGAAAATACTTAAATCATTCAGGATTTTTGTGCCAAAGCTTGAGCTCCCAGGGTTGCTTGAAAGGCATGCCACACACCCCTGAGCCACGGCCTGTCTCCCACTGGGGATCAGCCAGCCACTGCTGAGGAGTTGGGTAAGGCCTAATGATCCAGGGCTTTCAGCACTTTTTGGTCCTCCCTATGTAAACAGCAATGCCAGTAAACGAAGACCTTCACAGGGGTCAATGCTCTGTACTTAACCATTGATTCAGTATCACTTGCTGAATATTCTCTCCAAATACCACTTTACCACAAAGATTAGAAAAATTCTTTCATTTCAGCAAAGTGTGGTTTTTCTCATATGAAAAACATTAATAAAGATATTTTTAGAACGTTACTGAAAGCTTCTACCCATTGGTCACTGCACAGCATTGTGTCATTGGAAAAGCTGAGTATAATCACTTGATTTCCTTTAGTAATGGGGATTGTCATTCTAAAATTACAAAAAGAACAAGTCTCACTCATGATAATATGTGAAAAAAATTTGAGAATGCAAAACTATAAAATGGTATTTGACTTTTGTTTTATAAAAATGGTTGAGTAGATACAGCTTGTACAGAATTTTTTTATTTTTGTTTTTGTTTTTACATAAGTGGTGTGTGTTTCTTCCTTCAGAAATTAATTTCCTTCTAAAAGAAAATTTTTGTCAGAAGGGATCCTTATTATAGAAGAAATCTGACTAGGGGGCTGAAGTGACTAACTCTGAGCTTAGCAGAGGGTTTGGAGGCTAGTTTCTGACCAGACAGAAGAGGACACTGTAAGGGACAGGAAGCAGAAAGTCTCTACACTGGTCTGAACGCTGGTGGTCCACACAGCCAGGGTGGTAGGGAAGCGCCAATAGGAAGATGATTTCCAAACGTCACCTCAAGCCCGGCCGGTGTGGTTCAGTGGCTTGAGTGTCATCCCATGCACTAAGAGGTCACTGGTTCAATTCCCAGACTGGCACATGCCCAGGTTGTGGGCTCTATCAACAGAATGGGGTGTGCAGGAAGCAGGTGATCAATGTTTCTCTTTCATCAATGTTTCTATCTCTCTCTCCTTCTCCCTTCCTCTCTAAAAAAATCAATAAAAATATATATATTTTAAAATGCCACCCCAATTGCTCAGAATTCAGGACCAGCAATTCATCAGGATCCCAATTTCTAGTGAGGCATTCATTTCTTTTCACAGTCTGATCCCCAGAGCTGTGTGCGTGCTTAAGAGAAACTCAGTATTCATAAATGCAAACTTCATCCTGAGCCTCCAAA